AAACCTATTTTAACACAAAAACCTGTGCATGAATGTTTATAGCTGCTTTATTTGTAATTACTGAAAACTGGAAACACTAAGATGAAATTCAACAGGGGAATGGATAAACAAACTGTGGTACGTCCATACAGAGGGCTACTGTTCAGTAACAAAAGGAATGACCTGTTGACTCAGGGAAAAACATGGATGAATCTTAAATGCATTTTACTAAGTGAAGGAAGCCCAGCCCAAAGTCTACACATTTTATGAATCTATTTATATGACATTCTGAAGAAGACAAAACTGTAGGGACAGAAAACACATCAGTGTTTGCCAGGAGTTAGTGAAGGGAGAGCAGTTGACTACAAATGAGGTACACAGGAATTTTTAGGGTGATGGAACCATTCTCTGTAGTACTGGGGTGGTAGATTCCTAATTCTATGCAAACCCATAGAACTACGTCACAGAGAATGAACTTCAGTGTCTGTAAACTTAAAAAGAAATTGACTGGGAGATCCCTGGATGGGAAGCAGACCATGACAAATGAATCGAACTATGTTGCAAATATATGACATAAGGACACTGAAGGCTGTGGGGAGAAGCTGACCTAAGTAACTTTGGAAAATTGTGTTATGACTGAAAACTCTAAGGATAGAGACAAAATGAACTGAACATAAACACAGTCCTCTAGTAATTTGTTTTCCATGAGGATAAGAGTTAGCAGTCCTGAAACTGCTGTATGAGTTTACCAGAGATGAACAAGTAAGTGAGTGCATGATGGATGGTGTGAGCCAGATTTCAGACCCTCTGAGAGGGAAGTTGCAAATAAACAAAGAATAAATATCTGTGAGCCCATACTGATTATATAAATAAGTGACTGAATAAATAAATGGGGAAGAGAGAAGTCTTCCTTACAGAAGAATTCCAAATAATATCTGAGGATACTCCCCTCTCCAGGAGGTAGAGCTAGTACCCCCTATAGTGACTCTCTTCCAAAGAATACAATACGGAAAGGGAAAAAGAGTAAATGTGGAGAAACCTGGCAAACACCATAATTTATTTAACTAGCCTCCTGTTGATTGTCATGTAGGTTGTTTCTAATCTTGTGCCATTTGAATCTTGTAATGAATTAAAAAAAGGTAATGCATCAGGACCAAGTTGGATTTTGTGCAGAATTGGTTCAACATTAACTTAATTAACCACATTAACAGCTTAAAGAGGAAGAATATGATCATCTCATTGAATATGGGAAAAGTAGTAGATAAAATTCAAGAGCCATTTGTGACAGAAATTCTTAGCACTAGAAGAGAATTGGCACTAAAAGAGAATTTCCTTAACCAGCTGAAGTAGCTACAAAGAATCCTACAGTAAGCATGTGTAATGGTTAAATATTAAAATCATTCCCTTTAAAATCAGGAACAGAATAAGGATGCATGTTGCACTACTTCTGTTCAGTTGTAATGGAGTTCCTAACCAGAGTAATAAAACAGGAAAAGAAAACGGGAGAGAAAAGGCTCGGAAAGAAAGAAAATTATCTTTTGCAGTTGATAATATAGTGTCTGTAGAAAATGCAAGAGAATCTACAGGCTAATTATTATAATTAATGAGAGAGTTTAGAATAGTTAAAGGATATAAGATAAAAAATTTATTATGGGGCCGGCCCCATGGCCGAGTGGTTAAGTTCGTGCGCTCCACTGCAGGCGGCCCAGGGTTTCGTCGGTTCGAATCCTGGGTGCGGATATGGCACTGCTCATTGAGCCATGCTGAGGCAGCATCCCACATACCACAACTAGAAGGACCCACAACTAAGAATATACAGCTATGTGCCTGGGGGCTTTGGGGAGAAAAAGGAAAAAAAATTAAATCCTTAAAAAAAAATTTATTATATTTTAATACACCCACACCAAACTGTTAGAAACTGTAGTTTAAAATGAAGTGCCATTTACTATAGCAATGTTAGGGATATGTCTCCAAATATATGCGAGACATTTATGTGGACATTTATAAACTGTATAAGAAAACTTACATAAATGGAGAGATGTACCATATTGCTGGATAGGGCGACTCAATATAATAAAGATCTCAGTTCTCCCAATATTGCTCTATAGATTTAATGCAATTCTAGTCAGAATCCCAAAAGGTGGGTTGTTTTTGTTCTAATGGAGAATGGCAGGCATCAACATGGATGAATCTCAGAAATAAAATGTTGAGTAAAATGTGAAAGTTGCAAAGGAATGTGTACATTATGATTTCATTTTTATAAAGTTATAATACATTAAAAATAAGCAATAGGTAAAAATGTAAAGAAAAGCAAGATAATGACTATCACAAAATTTAATATATTAACTACTCTAAGTGGTAGGAAGGGAATGTAACTGAGCAGGCTCGTTTAGAAGACTTCAACAGTATTGGCAGTGTTCTAGTAAGCTGGGGGCTGGGTAGATACACAAGTTTCATTTTTTATAGCTATTACTATTATACTAGGTATGAAAATATCTTTCTTTTGCCTTCAGCCGATTTTTTAAAAAGATCCCTTTAATTTATTTTCCTCCAACTTTTATGTTGAAAATTTGTAAGAATAGTGTGATGAAAACTATATACTTTTCACCAGAATTCACTAACTGTTGATATTTTCTGTTTTATGTTTCTCTCATGCATTGCACTTAGTTGTTTTGTCTTTTCACACTCCTTCTTTATGAAACAGTTCCCAGCTTTTTTTTTGTTTTCTATGACCTTGATATTTTTGAAAAGTTCAAGCCAGTTGTTCTGTACAATTTTTCCTCAGTTTGGAATTGTCTGATGTTTTCCTTATGATTGAGTCAGGTTAAACGTTTTTGGCAGGAGTACTACATAGATGATGTTGTCGCCTTCTCAGGAAGCACATGATGTCAATTTGTCCCATTATTAATAGTGTTAATTTGATCCTTTGGTTAAGGTGGTGCCTGGCAGGTTTCTCCTCTATAATTAATGGAGATTCTTAATTTGCAAGTGATTCTTTGAGCCTGGGTGAATATACTATCCCTCAACAATTTTTCATCCAGCGGTTTTAGCATTCATTGATGATTCCTCCCTTAATAAGTTATTACTTATGGTAGTTGTAAAATGTTGATTTTCTATTTCCAGCATTGCTTCTACATTTTTTAGTTGGCATTCTTCTGTAGAAGACTTTACCTTTCCCATTCCTTTAAAATAGTTTTAGCATTAGCATCGACTCATGAATTTGTTTTTTAATTCAACTTATTATTCATTCCTGTTTTTTTAATTTTGGTGCTCAGATTGCCCCAGATTTGGCCAGTGGGAACCCCCTCGAACTAGCTTCTGTGTCCTGTTGTCCTGTGTCCCCACCTGTGATCTGGTGAAACGATATGTTCCAGGCTCACCTTGTACTTTCTCTGCCCGGCCCTGGTTCTGTTTTGTGCACTTTAGCTGTGCTTATAGCTGTTGGAGTGTTGTTGCTTCTTGGTCTTTTTAGTGGACAGCACTAAGAAGAATATATATTTTTTAAATCATGAATTCAGAATGACACCTCCAATTCCAAAGCAACACCACAGGGTTCTTCCTCTCCTCCCACTCCATGTTTATAACTGTTTTCTCCCACTTGGGAACCGTGATTTTTTTTAAGATCCTCAATATATTTACTCATTTGCTGAGTCCTACAGTAGACAGAATGGTTTTGGAACTCATTCCACTAGCGTTAACCACCAACAAACCTACCAAGTAGAGGTCAAGATTTCTTTGCTATTCTTTAGTCTTTTGATTGTATCCTAGGAAGGACTGGAGTCAGAGTACTCTGCAAAAGTCATCATAGCTAGGTTAGTTTGTTTCTGTTTGTATTCCATTTTAGGACTGGTTTAATTTAAATTTGAATATATAAATCATTAACATGGTTCAAAGTCAAAACTCAAAGTGTGGGCAAGTTAATAATTTCTCAGTGCCTCAATTTCCTCGTCTGTGTAGGATTGCTGAGAAATTTCAATGAAGTGATAAAGATTGCAAAGAGCTTAGCACATGCAGAACGGCATACAGCGTCCCATAATTATGAGCTGGTTTTGCTTTTCTTCTCCTTTCTCAGTGGATTCCTGAGTCACCGCTCTTGTTCCTTACTTTTCCTGGTCTGTGATCCCAGGCCATACATTGTAGGGGGCAGGGAGGTCCCTGTTACATAGTGATGATTGGGAAGGAAGACAACTCACATCTTTTGTGGTCCTACTATGTGCTCATCACTTCTAGGCATTCTCCTTAACTCACTGAACCCTCACAGTCCTGCAACCATTCCCTTTTATTCTTCCCCTTTTACAGATGAGGAAATGGAGGCTTATTCCAAGGTCCCTCAGCTGACCCTAGATCCTGGACCCATGTGACCCTTATCACCTGGCTCCACTTCCCCCACCTTCTGCATCTCCCTCACTTAGGCCCCAGGTTCTAGCTTGCTTAGGGAAAACCCCTGCTCAGGTGTGGGGAGCATGTATAGGGAACACAGCAGACCTGGGGCCCTGCTGGCTGATGGGCTCCCTGGGTCCAACCGGAGCACCGTTTCTGGGTCCCCCTGCCTCTGCTTCCCCCCCAGGGCAGACCATGCCAACAGCTCTGTCCTGTGGGGAAATGCAGTTCTCTGATAGGCCCAGGTGCATGTCCACTATGCTAATCACTGGCCAGCACTTGCCAGCAATTGGCTTCAGTTCTGGGACTCACTCTGGGTTTATTTATATTTTATACTTATACCTTGTTTGCAGAGATGGCTGGCTTGGAGTGGGAGCAGGGTCTGGGAAATGGAAGGAGCAAAGGAGCTAAAAGCAAGAAGCTGGGAGGGAGTTTAGGGGTCATCTTTGCCTCCTGAAAGGAATGCACCTAAGGGAGAACAACACTTAAAAAGATAGTACTGGACAGTCTAGAGTATTCCTGGCAGCTTTGGGAGGTGGACCCAGCAGGGATTAGCAGGCCCGTGTTGAAGGGGAGTCAAGGCTCTGGGGGAGGGGCAGTGTGATACATTGATTCTTTCAGCCCAGATCTCCTGACTATAGGCGGTAGAGAAAGATCTTGCCTCCCTGCCCTACAAATGGAGGAGAAACTTAGGACCACAGAGGGGAATGCGCTTGGCCAAGGTCACAGAATGAATTTGAGGCAGAACCAAGACCACCACCGGGCCTGCTGACTGCCAGTCCTGAGCTCTCACAATTGCGTCTCATAGGGAGCTAGCTAGGAGGGAGAGGTCTTCCCCCTACCTGCCATCTGTCCCAAGGTAAGATGCCATAAGCCACCTGGAAGCTCTTCCCCTGAAGTTCTCCACACATTCTTGGTAATTGCCTACTTACAGCTCCCCAGGTCCTTTCCCCTTTCCCGCCACTTCTCACGTTAAAGGAGATAGTCCCTCTAGCTCTGCCACTCACATAAGGGCCTGACACTTACTAAGTGCTCGGTCAACGTGTGCAGATGAATAGGGCAACTTGGCAACCTCCTGTGGGGGGTGAAGATGAGCACAGCTCTTCAGACCCAGCAAGACCCAAGAGAAATGTTCACATGCACATCCGCCAGGAGACATGTACCAGGATGTTCACAGAGGCACTCTTTGTTATAATAAAATGTGCAAAATTACCTGAATGTTCGTGATCAGGGGAACAGGTAAATAGTGTATTCATACAATGGAATACCATACAGCAGTGACAGTGAATGAACTATGGCTGCATGTGTTAACATGGATATATTCTCACAAACATAATGTGGAGTAGTAAAGCAAGTCGCTAAGTATACATATATTAACATTAATGCAAAGCTTTCACCACATCAAAATCAGAAGAGCAGCTACCTTGGAGAGGGGAAGAAGGAGAATCGGATCAGAGAGGGTACACAGAGGGCTCCAGCTCTGTCTGTGGTGTTTTATTTCTGAAGCTGAATGGTAGGTATTATTCTTGATACCTTTTTATGTGTCGAAAATATTTCATTATTAAAAAAAAGGAAAGAAGAAATGAATGAATGTTTAAGAAAAACTAAAAATGAAGTCCCGTCCCCTTCTCTTTAGCTTTCATACTCTTCTTACCCACTCCTTTATTATCGTTAAACTGTACGTATACCTTATTACTCCACTGTATATATGATATAACTCATAAAAAACAAATTTTAAAGGGAAAATATGCAAAAGGAAAGCTGTACATTGTAAGGTAAGGAAACTATCTCCTGACTTGGAAATTACTGTAGAACTTGAAATTTCCTCCTCAGTGACCTGTAAATACTGGGAGCTCCTTCGCCAGCTGTGCTATTTCAGGATATAACAGTGGAGATGGGCAATTAAAACATTTTCGTTCTATGTAGCCAAAGATGAAAAAGATTCTGCCAGTGATTTAGTGCTTCCAACCACCCATTCTGCAGAGTATGTTATTCTCATGTTTTAAAATAAAATAAATGAATGAATTGTTCTATCAAAGAGTTATTTTAAGAAACCTGGAAGTAAATATTAACTTCTCTTTCAGCATTTCCCTTCCTATGGTTTTAATTCAAGATTTTTTTTTTAAACTAAGCATTATAAAAATTTTATGGATCAAATTGTGGATTTTTTATTTTTAAAAACATTTTTTTCCAGAAGAGAAGCAGCTTAACACTGTGCAGTATCTTTCTGGATATGAATGATATTTTTGAAGACTTACCAGTTTTTAATTGTCCATTGTTTCCTAAACTGTATTTTTAATTTCATTTGCTCTCTCCTAGGGAATGAAGGATGGCAGCACGCCGTGCATTAAAAGCTGTTTTGGTAGATCTCAGTGGCACACTTCACATTGAAGATGCAGCTGTGCCAGGCGCGCAGGAAGCTCTTAAAAGGCAAGCTATCCTCCAGGTTCAGCTGACAAATATGTTTGTAAGTGCCGTTTTGCCAAGGCAGATCATTAGCTAAATGGATGGCCTTAAGATGGCATTTCACCAGCTTACCATATATACAGGAACTGCCTTGGGTTTAGCTAGAAGATGTATGCATTGTAATATCCTCCAAACATTGTTCTCTAAGCCTTTATTAGGTTTGGCCTTTTGATCTAGTCTTTTTGTTCTTTGTATGTGTCTTTTTCTAAGTCAGTAATGTAAATTTGGGAATGAAAACTCAAAATTCAAAAACGTGGAATGAATAGCATGGGAAAAATCACAAGTGAATCCTGGAATCACAAAAGGAAACATGCGCATACACAGAGTCCTAGTTCCACCCTCTCCCCCTTCACCTAAGATCTAGCCTTGAATGTGCAGCTGCTCAAATAAGATTTAATTAAGGGATTTGAAATTTTAGAATTATTTCCATCAACTAAATTTAATGCTTTCGAAGGTTAGAGACTGTCTTATATTTCTGATGTACCAACCACAGGATTAAACACAAGTCTGGATACAAACCAGAGATACGTAGTAAAAGATGGTTAAAGTGAACTGAATGTGGATGTGTGCTTCTGGGTGTCCTGAAAAAAATACTCATCAACACAAAAGAACTAATTATCAGTATTAAGCACCTTCACCCTGAAATAATTTAGAGAAGTTTACAAAATCAGCAATGCTTAGCATTGTGGTGCTTATCATTTTCCAACCTTAAAATATTCATAGTATCCTGTTATTCAGAAAATCAGTGACTAGTATCACAGTACCTAAGTAAGAGAGACTGTGTCAAGGAGTCAGGAGAAGTCCAGCTCTGCAACTGATTTTCTGTTGACGTTAAAGGATATGTTGTCCACCATTTCTCCACCTACAAAGTGAACATCCTGACTCCTGACTAAATTGATAGCTTCCAGCTGATGCCTACCAGATAAAGTCTCTTTATATTTGTTGATTCCTCAAATGGAAAGTAAGCTCCTTAAGGAAGTGTGAAGTCTGTGGAATAAGTAGCATTGGACAGGACCTTCTACTTCTATAAAAATGAACTTTCTACTCTGGATTGAAAAAAAACTTTTTATTTTTAGCAAACAATGACACGTCTAAGTAGCTCTAATAAACTATGAGCCTGCCATTCTGGAGGGACGGGAGCCTACGAATTGTTCTCTTACTGGCACTGGTGGGTTTCCATCCTGGAGAACTCCCTATACTGGCACTGCCAGTTTTGGTTTCTATAGAAACAGACTAGGGGAAGTTGAGGGACTAGTAAAAAGAAAAGTTTACAAAAAAAACTCATTAAAAATGATGTGGTTATTTCAACACTCATACTTGTTCATTTTTAGGGTAATAGTTGTGTTGAAGTAATCAATTTCTTTTGAGAGATAAATCACCAAATTTAATGTTTTGCAGAAAAGCTACCAAACAGATGTTATAGAAGTAGTCATGACTACAGTGAATTATTTAATCATATAAATTTATTGACTATTCTTTGGGTGAATACTTAAAAATCTCTTTTCTGTTTTATTTGCTTTCTTGTTTTAAGTTGAGATTAGTGCTTTTTATGCCTTGTATCCTTTTGGGGCAGGCATAATATAAAAAGCAACAGGGCATTAATATAAAATTTTAAATTGTAGCTAAACTAAAATTATTTTTAGATTTTGGATTAAAATACTATAGGACCCAGAAAATAATTTTTATTTTTTTCTCTGACTTCATTTTTTTTATTGAGTTCATAATAGTTTACATCATTGTAAAATTTCAGTTGTATATTATTTCCTGTCTGTCACCACATAAGTGCTCTCCTTCACCCCCTGTGCCCACCCCCAGCCCCCTTCCCCTGGTAACCACTGAACTGTTTTCGTTGTCCATGTGTTTGTTTATATTCCACATATGAGTGAAATCATCTGGTGTTTGTCTTTGTCAGTCTGGCTTATTTCACTTAGCATAATACCCTCCGGGTCCATTCATGTTGTTGCAAATGGGATGATTTTGTCTTTTTTTTATAGCTGAGTAGTATTCCATTGTATATATATATACCACATCTTCTTTATCCAATCATTGGTTAATGGGTACTTGGATTGTTTCCCTGTCTTGGCGATCGTAAATAGTGCTGTGTTGAACATAGGGGCCCATATGTTACTTTGGATTGTTGATTTCAAGTTCTTTGGGTAGATACCCAGTAGTGGGATAGCTGGGCCACATGGTAGGTCTATTTTTAGTTTTTTGAGGAATCTCCATACTGTTTTCCATAGTGGCTGCACCAGTTTGCATTCCCACCAGCAGTGTGTGAGGGTTCCCTTTTCTCCACACCCTCTCCAACATTTGTTATTTTTAGTCTTAGTGATTATAGCCATTTTAATAGGTATAAGGTGGTATCTTAGTGTAGTTTTGATTTGCATTTCCCTGATGATTAGTGATGTTGAACATCTTTTCTTGTATTTATTGGCCGTGTGTATATCTTCTTTGGGAAAATGTCTGTTCATATCCTCTGCCCATTTTTTGGTTGGGCTGTTTGTTTTTTTGTTGTTCAGTTGTGTGAGTTCCTTATGTATTACGGAGATTAACCCCTTGTCAGATATATGATTTCCAACTATTTTCTCCCAATTGGTGGGTTGTCTTTTTGTTTTGATCCTGGTTTCATTTGCCTTGCAGAAGCTCTGTAGTCTGACGAAGTCCCAGTTGTTTATTTTTCTTTTGTTTCCCTTGTCTGGGAAGACATGGTACTGAAAAGATCCTTTTAAGTTCGATGTCAAAGAGTGTACTCCCTATATTGTCTTCCAGGAGTTTTATGGTTTCAGGACTTATCTTCAAGTCTTTGATCCAGTTTGAGTTTATTTTTGTGTATGACATGAGATAATGGTCTACTTCCATTTTTTTGCATGTGGCTGTCCAGTTTTCCCAACACCATTTATTGAAGAGACTATCTTTACTCCATTGTATGTTCTTGGCACCTTTGTTGAAGATTAGCTGTGTGTACATATGCGATTTTGTTTCTGGGCTTTCAGTTCTGTTCCATTGATCTGTGTGCCTGTTTTTGTACCAGTACCATGCTGTTCTCATTACTATGGCTTTGTAGTACATTTTGAAGTCAGGGATTGTGATGCCTCCAGCTTTGTTCTTTATTCTCAGAAATAATTTTTATTTTTAAAGAAAGCTAGACTATCGTGAATTCTTTCTTTAATACCTGATTGCCAGTTTAGGTTCCAAAAGCAGATCATGGAATCAAAAGAATCTTGTAAGTAGTTCAAGGAGAAAATACATTTCAGTCTATAAAAGTGGAGTGTTTCTTTGAGCTGTTGAGGAGTTCCTGTTTATAAACTCAGTAACACATTAGGGCTTAGCCAGTCTCTAATTGGCTAGACAGAAAGAACAACATCCCGAGGTGTCCTCTGTTCTCCTACTACAGGAGATCAAACCCTGTACCAGGACATAGATTGGAGTTCTTGTCTCACGCCTACTGCCACCCGGCTGTATAAAGCTGAGCAAGTCACTGAACTCCTCTAGGCCTCGGTTTACTCATCTTTAAGACAAGAGGCTTGCACTAGTAGATGATCTCTAAGATGACTTTCACCTCTCATATTCTCTGAGGATGGTGCTAAGCTTTGTTTTTTTTCTTTTTTACTAAAACCTTGCAGTAAAATTTGGTTAAGGTATAGAAGGCCCTCCAAAAGGTAGAAATAGCTTTTATAATTTGACTTTGCAGCCTTTGGAGATGAAACAGCCCATAAGGTGTGGATAATATTTAGGCAATTCTGGGTAGATTTTTAAAAAGCTTATTGACCATTCTCAGTGACTGTCCTTCCTTTTCCGACTTTTGGCAAGTGCTACCAAATTAGGAGGTTTTATGGAACTAGAGTATAAAAGCTGCCTAGTGACATCTGAATTTTCCTTTTCCAGGTTACGTAGCGCTTCCGTAGTGGTTAGGTTTGTGACCAACACCACCAAAGAGAGCAAACGAGACCTATTGGAAAGGTTGAAAAAATTGGAGTTTGATATCTCTGAAGATGAAATATTCACTTCTCTGACTGCTGCCAGAAGTTTAGTGGAGCAGAAACAAGTCCGACCCATGCTGCTAGTTGATGATCGGGCACTACCTGATTTCAACGGTGGGGGAATTTGGAAAGATTTGAAAATTGGTTCTTTGTATCTTCTTATAAGTCATTCTTAAAGCTGGATGTTAAGAAATGTTTATTTAGATTTCCTCCTGTTATTATTGAAATGATCAACAGTTTGAATTTAAATTGGTTTTTCCCAAACCCTTTTTCACCCCGCTCCACAATAAGTGAAACACATTGCACAGTAACTTAGTACATATGCACTAAACAGTACTTACTCTTACTGTGTGAGAAGTACTCAATTTTCTATTTGGTTTACTTAATTGTCTGTTTGATTTTGATGCTGCTTAGAGCCCTCCAAAATAGTTTCACAGTATACTAATGGGTCATGACCCGTGGTTTGAAAAAACACAGGTCAAAATTACTTGGAGTAAGTTTTATAATCCTCAATCTAGGAGCCACTGTATTAATTTGATTAAATGAGATAAGGCAAGATCTCTTTATTTAAAAATAGATGTCATTTTGTATAGTGTGAAGTTTTTGCATTGACCATGAAATATTTTTAATCAAGAGAAAATAAAACTGTTTTCTCTTTGGCAAAATTAACGGACTCTGGAAAAATATCCTCATTTTATGAAGCTTTGCTACATTGCTTCTTTTTGTAGATGGTACTCAGAGTGAAGTGACACAGTATAGGAAAATGGGTATAAATACATTGTCGTAAAACCTTGTAATGGCTTTACAAATAATGATTAGGTAAGTTCAGCATGCCCACCATTGGGCAGAACTTCAAAACTTGTACAATCAGGAAATATACCAGTATATCAATCAGAATTATTATCTGTAAGAAACAGAAACCAATTTTGTCTGAATTTAACAGAAAATAAATTTATTAAAAAGATCTGAGTGCTGACAGGAATGTAAAATGGTACATCTCCTATGGAGAGGGATTTCGCAATAGCTAGAAAAATTGCATATGAAGCAGTAATGCTACTTGTAGGAATCTATCTCCAAGACATAGTTACAGAAATGCATGACATATGAAGAGGGTTATTCATTATGGCCTTATTTTTAATAATAAAAGACTGGAAACAACCTGAATGTTCATGGGAAGGGACTGATTAATTAAACTATGATATCCACAAAATGGGATGGTTTGTAACTGAAAAATAAGTAATGCTGAAGAATTCTATCTCCTGATGAGTGATTTTCATAAAATATATTAAATGAAAAAAGGTGTAGAAAATCCTACACATTTTCTATGTAAGAAAATGAGAGGGAAATGGATATATATGTCTTTCTTATATTTGTAAAAGGAAGCTAAAGAAAGATAAGTGAAAGACTAATAAAAATGGTTATCTAAAGGATGAGGGAGGGAGGAGGGAGAGCCAGGAGAGAAGACATCTCTTCTCTCTATATAACAAGTACCTTGTTATATTTAGTTTTGACTTTGGATCCGTGTAAATGTTTGATGTATTTAGTAAAAGACAATTAAAAAGTAAAAAACAAACCAGTCCCTGAAAACTAAGAAAAAAAAAAAACTAAAGAACTTTACTTTATATCAAGTTGGTGACATAACCACTCAAAGAAAAGAATTACTTCAGATGACTTGAAAATATAGTATTTTGGGGGCCAACCCTGTGGCTGAGTGGTTAACGTTCCACATGCTCTGCTTCGGCGGCCCAGGTTCACAGGTTCAGATCCTGGGTGCGAAGCTACTCCACTCATCAGCCATGCTGTGGAGGCATCTGACATACAAAGTAGAGCAAGACTGGCACCGATGTCAGTTCAGGGCGAGTCTTCCTCAAGCAAAAAAAAAAAAAGGAGGATTGGCAATGGATGTTAGCTCAGGGCAAAGCTTCCTCACACACACAAAAAATATGGTATTTTGACTGTTTGTTCATAGCGAAATAAATTCTAAGGATAAAAGAACTGCATTCAGAAATCTTACTGTTACTAGTAATGTTGGTATTGTTAATTTAAAATTATAGACACAGGATAAAACAAAGTAATAATTATGCTAATATTGTTAGGATCCAAGATTTCAAGTGTAAGTGAAAAGAGATAGAAATATGAAGATCAAATAAGTTAATTAAAAGCTGTATATTATTAGTTTTGGATTGAAAATACCATTATCAGCTCCTTTGTTCCCTTAAAATATACATTATCTAGATCTTCCACTGAAAAGGCCCAGAAGCAGTGACAACCCGGTGCTCAGACTGGTGTCTTCTACCATTTCCCGCTTTAGTTCCTTGGAGAAATGGCTGCTTCCAGATCTGGGCAGGCATTGTATAAGATGAGCCTGGGATAACTGTGTTAGCAGGGAAACTATCGAAGACTAATGAGGTCATGTCTGAAGGACCCTGGGGCCAATTTGAAGGCATAATTTGAGGATCAAAAAAAAAAATGATTGCAATAGATAGTGCATCATATACATAAAAAAACCATGAGTTCAAAATGGTGCTCAGCCCCACAGAACTCATTGATCACTATTGGAGGTGGTTAGGGCCGTAATTCATTATTCTGAAAATGGCTAAATTAAGGGAGTGAAACAAGCATTTATCCTGCCTTTCCTATTTGAACTGTATCATAGAGTAATCGGATATTTGATGAGGGTAAATTCTTTGTAGATGAATTCCAGCTAGTAAACTTAAAAGGAATGGCAGAATTAGGAAATCACCATTTGGCAAGCCCTAGTGAAACAAGCAACAACAACAATAGATTTTAAACACGTTAGGTGAAGGGCTGATGGGGAACTTCAGAATGGAGGCATCAAGTCGATACCACTTAAACCCACTGATCAATCTTATCACTAGAAGTTGAACAGCCAGAATTCTTGTGCTTCATGATGTGATATAATAGGAAACTTATACCATTACCTATGAAATAATCTTTCCTAAAAGTTGAATGTGAACCTATGAAACTTCTAGATCTAATTACCAGTTTGGAAGAAATATAAAGGTAAAAGAACAAATTAAATATTATAATAAGCAGTCAGCCAAATCCAGAATGTAAGACATTTTCCAGGGATTATCATCTAGTTGCTTCCCTAAGTGGAGAGGAGTGCTGTTATAGAGTGAGACGCAGGAAATAACAGTGAGATGCAATGTATGGACCTTGTTGGGTGCCAATTACATGTCAGATGTGAAAAAGACATTTGGGGAGATTCAAATGTGGACCAGGTTTTGCGTGATATTAAAGAATTATTAACTTTGTTGGTATAATAATGTTAAAGTGGTAATTTTTAAAAAATCTTTATCAAAGAGACATACTGAAGTATGAAGGGGTGAAATGACACAATATCTGGGATTTGCCTTAAAAAGACTTTCAAAAAAATCTAAGGGGTTATAGATAAGATTGGGAAAATGTTGATGGTTGCAAAAGCTGGATGATGGGTACATCAGGGCTCATTATGCTAGTGTTTGTACTTTTATGTATTTTTGAAAATTCCCATGACAAAAAGAAAACAGGCTGTTTGGGTAGCTTACAGAACTGTCAAGGAGAGCAGGAGAGTTAGCCTTAGTGGCTGTGCAGCCAGGAGCAATGTGCAGTATCACAGCACAAAACCGAACGTGCCACCGATAGCCCTGCTGAGCATTGAGGTCTGCAGCTTGCCCTGTTCACCCCAGTGGCACTGGAGACTGGATGCTCCAGCTAGCACTGCTGCCTTAGAATCTGAGGCTGCAACCGTCACCTTTTACACAGGACGTTCTCCCTGCTTCTTTGTGTTATGAGCTCCCAGTTCAGAGCCCAGGGTGGCTGCTTTTGATTGGCAGAGCCTCTGTCTCAAGGCAGCACCCATAGCTGCAAGAGAGGCTGGGAAAGTCTTTGGTGTTTTCAGCCTCTCTAATGAGAGGGAGCTCTGCCTCTCAGCAAGCCTTATGAGCTGGTGAATCCCCTAATTATGAGAATGGTGTTCAGAAACGGGGCAACCAAAAATAATGACAAATGCACTCTATAATCAACGAATTTATGTTTCTGGGTTAGTTGAAGTACTACAAAACAAGTTTTTAATCAGATTTTTCTCTTTTGACTTTATTTGAAGAAGGTTAAGATTTTAGTTGTATCAGCAGTGAGCTGGAGTTGGGATATATAGGCAGAGTCCCTGGTGTGGAAGAAATCTTTGCCATTCAGTCTGGAGCTATACTTGTGCCATCTTTATATACATGAAAATACCCAAAGTGGAGGGGTTTTTGAAAGGAATGGAAATATCTTTGCTAATTTTGACTATCCTTGCTAGTGGTAGATGGAGATAATAAAAAGAACACAAAAAACTTCAACTCTTACTGTAGCCAACAATTTTATTTTCTTCCTTCAACAAACTTTAACCAATTACTCAATACTTAGGGCTGCTGGTAAGGAGGAAATTGGGAATCTTGGATATCTGCCCTTCCTATTTCTTCCCCTCACATTTTAGTGGACTTGATCATGAAAATTCGTAAAGGCAGGCAATAAGAGAGGCAAATAGGAATTGGCATATGGATAATCCATAGAACCTTTAATCAGAGTTTTAATAACTGTGACAGTGAATGTCCCTGTTTGGTTGTTGCATCTAAAGTGCTGTTACCAGGTACCAAGCTCTTAAAACGTGCTTTAATTATAGAATAATATTCGTAAAACTAGAAGTAGATTAGGCATTATGTAGAGAACTGTAGAATGCACAGCACAGTCCGTATTTATCATGAATGTGTTAACCTCAGCTGTGTCAATTAGAGAGTCTCATTTCCCTTGCCTCTTAGATTTTCAGTCCCGCATCAGTTGCTATTGATCTGATAGCTCATAGGGAATTCATGGCTGTTCCTGTTGATTGTAATCAGTAGAGCTTTTTGAAGTTAGAAATTGTTACTTGTTGGAGAACATCAGGTTCCAAGTTTCACTTTAGATCTCCTAGTTACTGAGTAGCTCTAAGACCATGCAAAAGGAATATGCGAAAATACTAGGAGATGTTTTTTTCTTTTTTTTCTTTTAAGTATCTCTTCTGTTTCCAAAGTACACTGGGCAGGATAATCTCTTAAACTTCAGATTATGGCTACAGCAAAAATTTGGACTTGATCGATTAAAACTACTTTATTATAAAGTGTGACATTACTTTTAATTGCATTTTTCAACAATTGTATATACTTTTTCGTTCTCAGGAATACAAACAAGTGATCCTAATGCTGTGGTCGTAGGATTGGCACCAGAACGTTTTCATTATCAAATTCTGAATCAGGCATTCCGGTAAGTCTTTACCTGTTTGTTTTTCACCTGATCTTACACTCCCCTTCTCCCCTTCCTGTGTTTTCTCGTGTGAGGTTATACTGTTTTACTTTCTGTCCACCTAGACTATACATGAGGACAGACATCTTCAAGATCACCTCAAGATGACCATCAGATAGTATTTATTTCCATCTTGTGTAGTGCTTTTAAAAAGTGATCAATATGTTAAAAATGTGATGATCGTTAGGGTTTTTCTCATTTATAGAATCAATATTCTGGAGTAGAAATTCATAATAAAATTGCAGCTCTTAAAGTTAGCAGATTTCTTTTATTATCACTCCTGTGATTCTTAACTAACTATGCCAATTTCTGATGGAAAACAGCAGGCAGGCTAATGCACAAAAAACAGTAAATCCGATTCTTCCTCCAAGGAGGATCCAGGCTACGGGAAAAAGTGACACATTTGATCACATTTTCAAAGAAATTATTCAATGAATGGTAATGACACTCTGAACTGGGATAGTGGCAGTAGGGTGAAGAAAACCAGGTTCAGGTAACATCAACACGACTTGATGGATGATTGGGTTTACTGGGTGAAGAACAGTGCATCAAGAAGGACATCTGGGTTTCTAACCTGAGCACGTGTGATAGAGGACACTCCCTGCTCGGGGTTCAGAAGGTGGTAAGTTTTGGTTGGGGCTGTTTGGCCTGTGGGATATCTAAGTAGAGACGTTCCAATGTCTGTTGGTAGAAATTTGGGGAAATACAACTAACACATAAAATGTTATAAACCTTCAGTCATGTGTGCATTTTACTGATAGGAAGTTTTTGCTGCTCTTTCCAAAAGGAAGGCTGCATACTGGTTCTCGTACTTCCTAACAGAAATTGGGTCAGAGTTTACCTGCAAATCTGCTCTAGAGTGAGACTGTGGCTTTTTCCCTTGCATTTTTCATTTTTTATCTTGCCTTTTGCTTCTTGTCAAACCATTAAACAGAATAGTTTGCCTTTGAATTTGTGACAAGTAGTTCAAAATATTACATAGGGATACGTTGAACTAACTTAAAAAAAAATTTGGTAGTTAACTGCAAGAATACTATAAGAAAGTCATTTTCTTACCAGTACAAGGATCTACAAGAATCATTCTAACTTATACTTGATGTAGAATTCATTTCTTGATGTATATGTGCTAGAATCAGAATGTTTTTAGGAAATTTTAAAACTCACTACAAGCTTCACACATCTGGGCACGTTATTTACTGTTGATCTTGAAAATGGCTCTTCTCATATATAGTCTTTGTGGCCAGAAATAGCACTTTGGGAACAGCCACCTTTTTTTTCCTGTGTGCACATCAATTTTCCATCCTCGGTTAATGGAAACTATGGCTACGTAATGCACTTTTATTTGTGACTCTTTCACTCGCTGCGGTAGTCAAGTCTTTGTTTAAAAGGAACAAACTCACTTTTTATAGTTACTCAGTATCCATTTACTGTAGTTTTTTCCTGGAGATCCACTGCTATGCCAGATTCCTTGAAGATGTACTTCAGGGTATATGGTGTTAAAATTTCTTTGGCTTCACCTACTTTTATTATCCTACTTTAGCTTCTGGGGGGCGGCCCTACTTTAGCTTCTGGGGAGCGGGGGGATTATCTCACCTGCTCCCTTAAGTAAGGATGACAACTATACCAGCGTCAGTTTTTATTTGAAGTAGAGAACCTGCTACTATTTCTTACTTCCGAATTTACCCCACTACCGTTTATTCATTTCTTTAACCACAGAATTCAAGGAGAAGGAGTTGATTGATTTTAGCCGGTAATTTGGGAAGGACATATTTAATAGGAGGTTGGGAGGTCTCTGTGTTAGATGAATACTAGACCCAGGGTAATAAAAAGGTATGCTGACATAATGCTGGCTTTGTAATTGCTTGGATCCTGTCTAATTAGTACACTTCCCTAACCATATTGATTTTTTAAACACTACATTTTAAAGCATTACAGTGCACTTATAGGTCAACTCTAATTTCACAAATGCACTTAACAGCTGGGTGGAGAGTTAACAGAAGGATTTTAGGTCTTACCCTTCTTTGCATATTGATGTCTCCACAGAGACCGTGCCTTCCAACCAATGAGTACAGCTGTTTGGATTGTGTGTGGCACATATAGACATCTCAAATGAACCACCAATTAGTTAAATTACTATTCAGGTTGATAATGAGAATAAACATTGGATTTTAAACCCCGTTGGGTAGCTGCCTTGAATACCAGCTTTGGGGCACATTGCCCTCAGACAGATAATCAACCTTCTACATGGCACTGCCTCTTACTTACTGTGTTTTGGATGGGTAGACCCCACCCCCACCCCCAAATGCATAGTACAGTCTGTCTACAGATATGTCGTAAATATCTGAATAAAGTTGAGGACGCTGAATTTTAAAGATTTGGTTTTGGAGAAGGCTATGGACTGGTTTTATAGGGATTAGACATGATTTGGATTTGGGTTCTATAAAACATTCGAATTCTAAAAGCCATTAATGGCTTTTTCCTTTTACCTACTACTAAAAGAGACAAGGATTAATATAATGAACACCCACCCATATGCCTATCAACCAGTTTAAGAAATACAGATTATCAGCACATTTCATATCGCCTGCGTATTGCTCCCCAATTTTGACACTCAAGACCCAGAAGTACTTAGGATTATGAGTTTTAATTTATCGTGTTCATTAATTTCTTTATAGTTGGAATACACTTGTAGGTGTTCCTAGACAGTATATAGTATTATTTTGCATGTTTTATACTTTATATATTCATTAGTTTCTTTCTTACCTCTATTGTATGGTTCATCAATCTGAGTATCCGTAGCTCCAGGTCATTCATTTTTACTATAGTACTAGCTTGTAGCAAAGTCTTTTTTGATCTTCTGACTTGAGTTAGAAACCCAAAGCTTGAGCATTCTAGTAATGGACCAATTATAATAAAATTTGATCATATCTATTAGGAGAAAGGCTACCTGGCAAGCAGATCACTTAATAATCTAACTTGAACTGAGTATCAAGAAGACTAAAAAGTATCCAAGCACAAAAATAATATGTCTTTATTGTGGAAAATTTTCAATGCTCAAAAAAGAATAAACAAAATTGCCTGTAATCCTTCCACCTAAAGAGAACCGCAGTCAACATTTTAGCATGTAAACTAGTTTGATCTGTGCACATATAGACTTAGACAAAAATGAGAATGTATATATACTGTGTGATAATGTGCTTTTTTTAAAACCCAACAATATATTGTGCGTTTTTCTGTATTCTTCAATATTCTTCTAAAAACACATTTGATTCCCACAACATATTCCACTTTAAGAAGTACAATAAATTGTGTATCCATGTGTTTCCTATGGTTGGTTATTTCCAAGTTTTTGAAGTTAGTTTTAAAAAAACTTCTGAGAAAATGTTTGTTAAGCAATATTTATGTTTTTTCCTCAAGATTTTTCTCAGAAGTATAGTTATTGGGTCAAAGGAATTTTGAGGAAAAACTGCATGGAATTACTTAACCTAGGAAAAGTTTAAGGTTTTTTTCTAAATTAAAAGCATCTGCTCTCCATCTGAGGTGCTTATTAAAATGTCATTGTAGCTGAAGATAAGTGACATCATGACTTCCATGTATAAATGCAGAGGCAAAGGCTGCTTAGAAGAATGTTTTGAAGCTTTGTTAAAGACTTCTTTCCTACAGCCATTGCAAGGTGCAAGAATCCTCCAGAAGTGTTAGAGATGCTCAGAAATGAGTTTTTTTGTTTTGGGGGGGAGATTCTTAACACTATGAATGGTTTCTGTTGAATATTGGATTGCTTTCTTTTCCCCATCTCCTTAAGAAAAAATAAAAAGTTTAATTACTCCAGTGTATTCAATTGCTTATAAAGGGAAGAAGAGAAAGAGAAAAAAAAATCAACAATAATGGCCTCACTTATTATTGCATTTTTACTGTAACACATGAATCTTTTCTAAGTATTTAGAGCCCTGGGCATGAGTAATTCCAGAACAGTGTGGCAGCAGGGCTCAAATTAGAAATATTTCTCTGGGCTTTTTCCATTTTGAATGGACTGACTGCTACGCAATCTTTTTAATTAAAGTCCAGACTATAAAAATAAGATGCTTTGGAGATGAGAAATTGTTCAAGACTTAAGAACTTGAGTTATTTAAAGTGTTCCATTAGTGTATGCAGGAGAACAATTTTATATGCCAGTTTGAAAATCGTAGAATACAGAATTGAGGTAAATATCGTCAGTAAGTGCTGTTACATGTTTCAATTTGGGGAGATTGTTTTATGATCAAGGCAATTCTTGCAACTCTAAATAAAAATTTCAGGTGAATAAGCCACATAAATATATTCTGTTACTGGTTTTTTTAGTTTGATGTATAACATGCACAGTAAGGTATACAAATTGTCTGTGTATAACTCAGTAGAGTTTTACACATAAATATACCTATGTAACCCCCACTCTGGTAGGAATATAGAACATTTCCGGCCCCCAGAAGGCTCCCTATGCCAGTCAATACCACCTCTTCCTCAAGGCAGCCACTAGTCTGACTTCTGTCAGTATTGCCAGTTTTTGATCCTCACATGAATGAAATCATACACTTGTAGCATTTTCTGTCTGCTTTTGAGTTTTATGCAAGTTGTTGCAGGTAGCTGTACTTTGTTTCTGTTTTGTTTCTTCTTTTTAAATTTTTGTTGTTGCAGTCTATTGTATGAATATTCCACAATTTATTTATTCATTCTGCTGTTAATGGGCATTTGGATTGTTTCCAGTTTGGGCTGTTAAGAACAAAGCTTCTATGAACATTCTTCTGCAAGTCTTTTGGGGGACATATGCACTCATTCATCTGGGTCAGTATCTAGAAGTAAAATTACTGGAAAATAGGTACTTTAGTTTTAGTAAATGTTGCTAAACAGTTTCCCAAGTGATTGTACCGAGTCATAAGTTCTTGCTAGCTGTAAATGAGAGTTCCAATGCTCTGCATTCTCACCAA